AAAGCACTTTTTTGAGAAGCACTTTTGAGAAAAATACACTTAGAAGCAGTTTTTTAAAGCTTGGCCAAACACTAATTGCTGCTCAGAAGTGCTTTTCAAACTAATTAGTCAAACACAAACTGCTTCTCACCAAAAGTACTTTTGAGAAAAGCACTTTTGAAAAAAACATTTCTCAAAATAAGCTGATTTTTGCAGCTTGGCCAAACGGGCTATTATTGTCCATTATAGGTAGTAGGTATTATGAATAGGAGAGGAAATTTCAAATGAAGAAGTTTAATTTCTTCTTCTTTTCTGTTTGTGAGCACGTGATTTTTGCCTCGCTTGAATTGCTCCTACAGAATTCTTGAAATTAGGATTTTCCTCTTATTATTTGATTTTTAGGATTTAATTGTGTAATTTTTGTGTATTTGCATTTGTGTGTGCATGTTTAATTTTTAGATAATTCATAAAAATACAAAAATATTGCATTTGCATTTAGGATTTAATTTTACATTTTTAGACTATTTAGTAATTAGAGTTTTACAAAATGCAAAAACAATAAAAAGATTTGGCTTTTTGAATTTTGTTAGTTTCTTTTAATTTGTCTCAATTAATTGTAGCAATCATCATTTAGGATTAATTAGTTTAATTAGGTCCTTAGGATTTTAATTCAGTTTTTATTTTATGTTTAAAGAAAAGGAAAATATACAAAAGGAATTAAATAAGAAAAGAAAACAAAGAAAAATAAAAGAGAAAAAAAATTTTGGGCCTGTTAATACCTAAGTCTTGGGCCAGTTTAGGATTTAATGTATTAGCCCAATCAATTAAGCCTTTGAGCTAGTGAAACTCAACTCAAAACCAGCCCAAATGCCCTGTCCGGCCTCAATTTAAACGACGTCGTTTGGGCAACTTTCAATCAGGACCGTCGAGGTTTCTTGATCGGACGGTCCCGAAGCCCACATCACTTGATATAAATCTGTCCAAACAAGACCTGACCACCCCCCCCTCAGGCCCCTACCTCTCCATCTCTCAGAACCCCCCAACCTCCGGTATAACGCCGCCATCCGCCGCCATCCTCCGCCGTCTGCCGCCGGCCGGAAATCGCCTCCGCCGGCAGCGTGTGTCCAAATTCCCCAAAATTTACACCACAGCCTCCTCTCCTTCTCCTCATTACGGATCCAAGCTCCGTTTTTCTCAAATCCCCTCCAAACCTGTCGAATATCCAAAACCCTAGCACCGCCTCCGCCGTGTCCGGCGGCGCCACCACCCAACCACCACCAAATTAACACCCTTGAACTCCCGTCTTTCCCTCTTTCCAAATATCTAACTATTTTCCCCCAAATCACCACCAAATCCCTCGAATTTCAAATCGAAAAATGGCCAGAAACCCTAAGTTTGTAATATTGGGATTTCTTCCGATTTTGGGCTATAATAGCCCTTAATCATGTCACATGATTAAAGGCAGTTATGATCCAAGAATGCCAAGGAAAACCCGTCAATTTTGAGGCCAAACCATATCAGTGAGTTCTCTTCCTTCTTCTTTGTTTAATTTTCTTCTTTGCTTATGTTCTCATAATTGTTAAGTTCTGGTTAATTTTCATTTCTAATTTTGGTCAATTTTGTTCTGGTTTCGTGTTCTGATTTTGTGCTTGATTTTCTTTCTGATTTTAGTTCGTTTGGATTTCTGATTTTAGTTTGATTTTATCAAAATAGGATTTGTTTCAATTCTTTTTTCTGTCTTGAAATTGTTAGTTTCTGCTTCATTTAAATTTTAGATAATAGTTTACTCTTTTGTTTTCAGTATCCCCTCATGGTTGTTATTAGTTACTAGTGTAGTATTCCTTTAGGTCAGCATTTAGTCTTAATTAGTTATTAAGTTCAGTTTGGTTAACTTGGTTATAGTTGAAAATTTGTTTGTGTTAATTAGAATTTTTAGATATTCTTATTAGTTTGATTGGATATAGTCGAACCAGGATTGTTTGCTTTAATTATGGCTAAATTTTTAACTAAGGTAAAAGGGGGCTGGGGTTATAGTTCACACATAGGCTAGTAATTTCAGAACTAATTCAAGGGTAAGTTAGGCATTTCAAAGAGAAGGAATCTTGTAGTAACTAAAAAAGAATTACCTAGAAGCTTCTAGAATAGGGCCCAAGTTAGATTTCAGTAAGTTTAGGATAGTAACTTGGGTAACAAGTTAAAAAATAAGGGACTAAAAGCTGAAAATGAGTAAGGACTAAAAACAAAACTAAAAATCTGAAGGTAGCCCTAGGCTTTGCCTATAAAAGGGCACACCATTGCCTTGTTTTGCAAGTTTTGGAGAGACCTGAAAAATTCCCCAAAAGTCTGGAAGCTCTGAAAAATCTGAATTTCGAATTCCAAAGGCTAAATCTGAAATTTAGAGTTCGAAAGTCCTTTTAGATCTTAGATCTTCAGAAAACCCCAAAGATACTGTTTTATTAAAGCTTTTCCTCAGATTAGTTTCAAATTCTAGTCATCAGTTCGAATTTCTAGCTTAAATAAGACGAAAATGACTTGAAACACATGAGTTTGGTTTGCTGAAGCTTCAAAAGCATCCTGGGTGCAAATTCGAGTCTCTTTTGGTCCAATTGAACTTATTTTGGTCATCTATTGGATGTTGTGATTCTGTAGTTTATTCCTGGATTTTGTGAAGTTGTTTTGGTTCTAAAATTGTTCCTGTTGCCGTTGTGATCACTGCTGCTGTTACTGACTCCTCTTTCTTCATTTCTGTAACGTCCAGGTACATGTCCTGACTTCGAAGCAATGTGAATATCAAGTTGAAAGTTGAAATAAAACTTGCTGCATGATTTTGTTGTAAAATTGTGTTGTTAGATATTTTATATTTCGAATAGTGTTCCGTGATTTGTTAATGTCTTCATTGTAAATAGATAGACTGTGGACTGTATGATTAGGATTGTTTTGGATAGCTCTCGTGTGGGACTGTTTAGACCTCGAAATGATGAGATATAATGCTCAGTGACAGTAGATCTATATTGTTTAAATTGATAGCTTGCACACTTGATCATAGTTCATATAAGATAAGCTTGTTAGGTTAGATGTAAGATTTAAATTCGAGTTTCATCATGCTGGTTCACAAAAACATGAAAAATCACATGTCAATAAAGTTATCTGCGCATAAGTCCGTTACTGATTCATTTCAATAAAAATCGCATTTCATCTATTAGCTTAAACGTTAATTTGTAATTTTCTGTCCTTTAAACTTGAGCTATAATTTTCATCCTTGAGCAATTTGAAATGGATGTGGCATTATCTTTTGTTAAATTCAATCCTGATTCCTGCTCAATATTGGATTCTACTTGAACCTTGCCTCTGGGCTCAAACACAAGGCCCAGATGGTCGTTATTAGCACTATGGTTAAAATTGATACTCCAACACACCTTGGGCCTGATTCCTTCGACAATGGGGGCCAATCACATATTCAGATTAAGATTGTGAGATTTTGATTCAAACTCCTCAGCCCAGTGTCATTCTCGATTTGTACCCTTGAGCAGGCCCACTTGATTGACCCTCATCCAAGCTCTACTAAGATTCTTTATTTAGGTTGGCTTAAAGGCCTTAATTCATAGCTTAATGTAATATAAAATTGGGCCTTCGAGTTAGGTAGCGGATTCAAATTAAGAGGTTTTCCCTTTTGTTTGAATCCGGACCTGAACTTGAAGCCCGAAGTCCGTATTGTTAATCAATTAGGGCCCCTTTTTAGAGACATTCCATATTAGAAAACAATAGCCTTTTTAAGATGGCCTTTAAATAAAACGAGGTGAACATCGCCAAACAAAACACATAAATTACGGGGCCCTCACTAATTGTCTATATTAAAAATACTTAGAACCTGGGGCGTGCCGTTTAGCTAATTTCACAGCCCTCCGCAAAGGTAATAAGACGTTAGTCGCTTTAGGCACGCTTTTAATAATTATACCTTCCTAAACTCGGGTGCACATTTATGTGACCCAAATCCAAATCCCAACGAAGTCGAAATGTGTCAAAAACCGTGGGTGCATTTATGTGACNTTTTCCTCGATTTGGGATTCAATTTAAACCGGTGACTTGGGACACCAAAAGCCAATCCTATCCCAAGTGGCGACTCTAAAAAATAAATAAATAATCCCATTTCGAATAATGTCACTTTAAATGGAAAAACTCCCTTATACATTATCCTTCGGGGTAGGTGTGTAAAAAAAGGAGGTGTGACACTGTTCTATTTCTTTTCTTTTAATCAAGAAAATCAAATACTCCAATTTTTGGTTGAAGGAGGACCAACTTTACAACTTGCAGTTGACAAGTGACTTATGATACCACAAGTGGTGAAGCTACAAATTTTACTAAGAATGTTCAAAATTTAATATATATATACTATATATATATATATAATATATATATATATATATATATATATGTCAGTAAGGAGTCTATAGCTGATCTCAATTTATTTAGGATTGAAGCTTAATTAGTGTCATTGTATGAAAAGTAATATTTACCCATATACATAAATCGTGCTAAAAGAGGACTCAAAGAGGGGCAAAGAGAAATTCATAAAGGGAAAGGAAAATGATTCTCCTCACTTTCTGGAGAATCTTACATACACTCTTTTAACTTTCCCTTTTCCTTCTTTTAGTCATTTGTGGAGTTCCCCATTTTCCTTTTTCTCCATTTGTCCCAACCCTTTTTCTAGATGTGAGACACACTTTGCACCTTGAGAGTAATTTATTGTCCTAAAAAAGTGTGAGTTTGCAGTTCCAAGTTGCAGTAGTAAAAAGCAAAAGTCTAATTAACAACACAAAACTAGAGCAAAAAAGGTAGCCCGGTACACAACACATCAACTTTAACGCAGGTTCCGGGAAGGGCCGCACCTTAAAAGGTATAATATAGACAACCTATCCTAATACAAGCATTAGTGGCTGCTTCCACAACTCGAATACGTAACGTATAGCTCACATGGAAACAACTATACCGTTGTTGTAACACTCCCCTTCGATACAAAACTAGAGAGTTAACAACAATGCTTTCATTTGACAATTATTTATTTAAAATGTGTATACACACTTAGCAAAGGTAAGAGAACCTATTTTCTCATTTCACAAAACTCAACTACCAACAGCTAAACCATCTGCTGCAAATTTTATGAAAAAAGAACATCAATAACTGACATCTAACATTCATTACAACTATCCCTTTTACAATTGCAAATTCTAAACAAAAAAAAAGTTGACAGACGAAGAGGATCATCGTGGTGATCGCTGACAACCTCCGGGGAGAAGGAATCGAAACTTATCTGCATTTTCAATGACATATGTAGGAAGGTGAACCGCGGATGCTGAGCGAGGTATTGATCCCATTTTCTTGATCAATTCCTGAAAAGAATACTCCTCAGGTAACATATCATAAAGATCAGCTCCCTCACAAATAAGCTTCTGAATTCTAGAATGTTTTAGGAAATTTTTACGTCGAACTCTGTCCGCGTGACTATAACCAGTCATTTTTAATACAAAATCTTGCAGATGCCGAAAGCAAAAGCTACAATGCCACCCTGCATCAGAAAATATAACATCCGTTTGGCGCGAATGTCTGTACTGAGTCCACCTGTTGTAAATGTGAATAGTAGCGCGCCAACTACTATAATCAACAGGGAACTCAAAGGAATACATGTAATGTCTGAGCTCAAGATGCAGGACGGGAGGAACCCCATCGCACCACTGCAGCAATTTAATAGTGTGTTGGCTCGGGATTTCATCCGTGTCTGACATAATGAGAAGGTCGCCATCAGCAATACCAGCAACTTTAAGTAACCTGTTCATCGCGATACGCTGCTGTGCTTCTAGTTTAAAAGGATCTTCGTGTGAACCAGGGGACGCAACACGGCCAGGAAACACACCGTGTACTATCTTTTCCTCAGCAAAGGCAAATCGTTCGCGATGATCAGAGAAGTACAATGGCTTTGGGATTCCAGTAAAAGTAGTATTGGCTTCCAAGATCACAAATTTTGTAACATAGGGATAGAGCTCGCGCCACCTTACTTCGAGCAAGTCTAACTCGTTGCTGAATATGATCCCATCAAATACGCGACGTGGTTCAGAACGTAGGGTCCATCCGTGTAAGCGACAAAGATTATCCATCGAAACGTTTTCAGCATAATAATGTGGCAAATGATCAAACGGAGGTGGAGGTTTGTCCCAAAGCGGGCGGAAAAAATAGGAGATTTTATGGCCGTGGAGGTAAACACCAAAGAACAAAATCGGTAGAAGTATCAAGAGCGCGATAAAAACAATTTTTTTACGAGATCGTCTGGAGCTGAGGCGGGATTGTCTTGGGGCCATGCGATAACACGGCAGAAGTTTGCCAAACATTATCTCCTCATTGTTCAAAACTTCTATAGTCTGCATATTTTTCAGATGAGTTAAGGAAAGAACACAAAGGGACTCTGTATATATTATTTTTGTATAACTCCGTTTAAGTACAAAGAGCAATTCGGTGTCTAAAGAGAGGTCTTGCAATGTTAAAGTAATATTCTCCACAATTTTTCATACAAGAAAATACGTAGTAGCACCTCTATTTATAATAGTGCAAAACTAGTTTGACTACTGAAATACCTATTCTTATATTATTTTGACTACAAAACCTAAGTAGATATGGATTGGATAACTGCAACATATATCAAATCCTAAATAATTTAGGTTTCCTAATTCAATTTTGAATTAATCTTCTAACATAGGATTATATTATTTTGACTATATAGCCTAATTAGATATGAATTAAGTAACTAACATATATCAAATCCTAATCAATGACTAATATCAAATACACTATGACTAGCATATTTGTAATTGCTTCTTAATTAACGTTAATCATTAACTAGCCAGGTGAAACAAACAGTATCTCAACTAGAAGATATTCATGCAAATACTAATTTCAGAAGGAACCTGAATTAAACAGGACTTCGGAACTCCAATTTTTTTATATTAACAGGACTTAAACCTAATTTTTTTTTTTTGTGACAAATTACGATTGAGAACAACGGTAAAGTTGTCTTATAGGTCACGAGTTCAAGCCGTGGAATCACCCATCGATACTTGCATCAAGGTAGGCTGCCTACATCACACCCCCTTGGGTACGGCCCTTCCCTAGACCCTGGGCGAACGCGGAATGCTTTGTACACTGTCTTTACCAATTGAGAACAAAATGAAACTTTTTATATGCAACCAATATTTTTTGATATTCTTTTCCCAAAGCAATTAAATGGAGATTATGAATCATACCACAAGAACCAAAAGTCGAGTTTGGAGGAGCCAATTTGAAAATCAGGACAAAATATAGCAAGAAGTAAACTAAGAAGATCCATCTTAAAGCCACTCTGCCACCTTATATGCTGAAATTTGTCCAACTTTGGACATGCAATTCCAGTAAATCATTCCATCCAAATGCTTCCCTGCAGATATGACAATGCAAGCAAATTTTCTGAATTAAGGTTGTTGTATTCTTGTAAACAGTAGCTACAATAACAACGACAAAAAACCCAGTGTAATCCCATAAATAGGGTCCTTGTAAACAGTAGCTGACTCAGAAATTCTAACAAGAGGATTCGAAAAAATGCAAACTTGCACAGTGAGTGGATATACTTAACTATTATAAAACCACAGGAACTGATTGTGTATATTAATTTGCTTTCACTTTATATAATTTTCTCAACTTCATATAGAGTCCTTAATACAACAAGAGATGACGACTATGAGATAAGGTACAGGTGACGTACGGTGTAATTTTTCGACTAAGGGGATTCAATTGAACCGCCTTCGACACACTTAGGTATGCATTGCTTGTAAGAATCAAGTGAGACATCAACAACAACAATAACAAAAATTCATTGTAATCCGACTAGTGGGATCTGGGGAGGGTAAAATGTACGTAGATCTTAACCCTACATGAAGAAGGTAAGAGGCTATTTCCGGAAGATCCTCGGCTTACGAATGATAGAGAGAAAGGAGTAACAACAAGCAACAACACCAGCAAACCAAACAGAAATTCGAAGGGCGAGAAACAATAAGCAATAACAGAAATCTAAAAATAAGAAAATACAGGATTCTTAAATTTTCATGAAAAACTGTCTCTTTTAACATAACAAACTAAGATTTAAGACAAGATGCCAAAAAACAGAACATTCTAAATCTGGTAAAAGTTCCCATGAAATGATGAAAACAAAACCATTTCCCCCAGAAATCAATACTCAAAAGAATATACCAGTTGTCTTTAATAAGTGAAAAAATATTTCATGAATATACAGCCATTTCCACAGAATTCAATAAACAGCAGAATATACCAAGTGTCTTTAGTAAGTGCAAGATGATTCTATGTTTACAAATTATCACATCATTAAATTCCTTTCAGCTCTGACCTAATATTTCCATACTAGCAAAAGGGTAACACATAGAATTTACCCAATGCAACTAAAAGTTGAAATTTTGTTAAGTTTCACCTGAAACCCAACTTCATTTATATCACTAAAATCCATTCAAAACATATTGAAAACACAAAAAACAAATCCAGATTTCAAAATTCAAAGACCTAAACTAGCAAAAAAAATGGACAAAAACACAAGAAAGAAGCTAAATATGAACAATAAATGATATTTAAAAAACCTCACCTTTAGTGGAAGCTGCAGAGGCTGAAATAACAAGATTTCAGGGCCTAAACTAACGCTCAAAAGGGTATTAATATGTTAAATATGAATATTGTATAGTAATCTTTAAATATCTCAATGGGTACCATATAATTGGGAAAATGATATATGAGATGTGTGTATATTACTATGTAAAGATATTTGTATGAATATGTAGAGGACAAGAAAGGAAGAAGAGAGGAAAAGAGCTTGGGGCTCAAATGGCATGAGTTATGACAGAGAGAGGTTTGGAGAAAGAAAGACTTGTGTAGGAGAGAGGTTAAAGGCTTTGAAAATGGCAGCAAAGAGTTGGGATTGTCTACATGCATGACCATGAAATGCCTATAGTCTTTGACCAATCAAAATGAGTCACTATGCTACTATAATTCCTAAATACTAGTAGTACTAATAATGACTAGAACTATAATGATTAGACCTATAAAAAGTTTAAGGTGCATTTAAAGATTGAATTAATTAACTTAAATATTGGTGCAAATATTGTATACAAATTATTACACCATCAATTTAGTTTTAACTGCTTATAACAGATTATTTGTTATTTTTCAAGTTGTAAGATCAAGTTTTTTTTAATTATAAATAGATATCTGTTATTGTAGGCGATCTTAATTTGATGGTGTAAAATATTTATGTGCAATCGATGTACAAAATTTAAATGCTTTAAGCTATAGGTTACGAATTCGAGGCGTAGAATCAGCCATTAATACTTGCATCATGATAGACCGTTTACATTACAACTCTTGGGGTGCGATTCTTCCTCGGATCCTGAATAAACGCGAAATGATTCGTGCAACGGATTGCCCTCAGACTATATGCACTGTCAGTGCATGAATTATCTAGACAAATCAAATGAGTCATTTTGCTGCTACACGTCCTACTTTATAACGACCAGAACTATAAATGTGTAAGATGCATTTAAGATATTGCTAAATATTGAAATGACACTTAATTACACTTGAAAAGATGGCATTGCTTGTAATAAGGGTTGTTAGGATTCTTGTTTGGTTTAGCTATACCTATTTTATACAAGAAAATTCTCAGAACTATAATTATTTACTACATCTGTAACTGTGATTTACCTATATGTTTATGCTCTTAAGAAAATTACTATGAAAAATGCTAAAATGTTCAAACCACAACATTTTCTCTAAGAAACTAAACACTATGCTTGAGTAGGAACAAACAATTGAGACACAATAAAATACACGTAATTACTAGAAAAATTAAGATTTATTTTAACACATAAAGAATCACATATATTTTATTATAATTTTTATATTTTTGAAAATTGAAAATCAAAATTGAATAGTTAAGTCTAAATATTTAAACAATAGTATGTAGTTTTGGAAAACCTTAAATGGAAAAAATTAGAGTTTTATGTAAGAGCTGCAGTATGATGATAACAAATTTATATTTTTTACTCTATAATTTTCAACAAACACTAATATTAATTAGGTTTCCCGAGGTCTGGTTGAGCATTTCTTTTACATGAAATACTTGTATGCATCAAATGTTCATATCAAATCAAATAATATAACTTTAGCGGTTAAGAATTAAATATAAAATGCATATTATTTAATATTTAAGTTTTAAATGTTTGTATGAAAGTTACATGTCTTGCCGCACGAATAAATTTTTACCTTTTATATATATTACAATTTGTTTGGATGGCTGTTACTTGTATTTTATAATATATCGTATTGTATTGTTTGATGAATACAATGTCTGGATAGATTGTATCGTTTGCCGTCATTTCATAATGTCACGCACAAAAAATATAAAGGATAAACTTGCAACATTACTAAGAAAAAATTAGATACGAAGTAGAATCATTATATAAAAAAAGTAGGGTAAATGATAAAATATGTTTATTAACTAATAAAAAGGGGCAAAATGAGAAGAAAAAATAAGGTAACGCCGCCGCCACACCAAATTCGTCGTTACATAAGATGGCACTTTTCATCATAACGTAACTATACGATACAATAAAATTTAAGTAACAATCAAACAAATATTATATTTAAAGTAACAATATGATACAATACAATAGGTAACAACCTTCTAAACAAGCTGTTAGTAGTTGCGACCTATTAGTCAAATCTATTTTTCATCACTAAAAATTATGCTGAGATGCATAAGATCCTTCCATATTTAATAAGAAATTTCGGGTACAAGTCCTAGAAATGGACAAAATTCTAATAAGGAGCGCTTCGCCCTTTAATTGATCTTACGGGACGCAAATCTGAATTATTTGGACCCGCAATGGCTACCGAAAACCAAACAAGAAACAAAAAATTTACAGTTACAAGACGACACGTGTCTTTGCCTCAGTAGTATCTGCATTTTGATACCATGGACCTGCGCGTGTAGGATCATAACCTTTTTCATCGTTAGCACGTGTAAGCTTTGCCGCTGCACATGGTTCAGATCTTTGGATTTCCCGCGGTCCATTTTGGACATTACGCTGAAAGGACAATTTTGCCCCTCACGGACATAGAGTAGTCAGCAGATACCAGAATATCTTGTCTTCAAGTGGCATTAAAAATCTAGGATTGAGAGAGTTTAAACATGTTAACCAATAAGCTATAGCCACGTCACCTACAAGAAAAGATAGGAATAATGAAACCCTTTGATTGTGTCCACTTCATAATTGTTAATGGGAAGTAAGCATAATGTTGAGAGTTTTGTGCACGTCTACTCCCCAAAATAGTTAATTAATGTATTTTGACCAATATTTACGAGCCACTTTCATTTGGTCTTTTTTCGTTATTATGTAATTATTATTCTCTCCATTCACTTTTACTTATCCACTATGTTAAAATTTTCATTTTTACTTGTCTATTATACTAAATCAAGAGAAAGACATCTTTTTTTCCTGTTTTACCCTTATCATTAATTACTCATTTTCAAACTTATTTCCCAAGACTTTTTGAAAGGCTAACATTTTTAGGGATTGTATGGTAAAATACATATTATATTTATTGCTTCTTAAGAGGCGTGAAAAATCCAAAATTGGACAAGTAAAAATGAACGGAGGGAGTAAGTTGGAACAAAGGAAGAGAGTTTTTGGCCAAAATTATCCCTTATCTTTGAGGGTAGGTCTATTTTGGTCCCTCAAATATAACCTTGAGCATATTTAGTCCCTTAAATATCTAAAGTGGAGCACCTTTAGTCTCACTGGCACAATGTGTTCAAAAACTAACAGTGATACCCAACTCTGATTCATGAAGCAAATCTTCTGCTCTGAAGCAAAACGTTTCCTCTCCTTTTATTGGATAACACAAATTATCATTTTAATTTCTCATTTTTAGATAATATTTTCTAAAATTTTGACCTTGAAAATATCCCTTTCTGTGCCAGTTTTCAATAAGAAAATGACACTGTATAGCGCTGTAAATATATATATATATATATATATATATATATATATATATATATATATATATATATATATGTTAAAAAATTTACAAATTCTATATAGTTTTTTGGCTACCAAATGTGAATAGTTTCTGACCCGGGCTAAAAGTGATAATACAACCTGGTTATTCGTTTGCTTCAATAATATGCCTAGAGTGATCCTGGCAGCTCTATTTTTTCAAATTTAAACTTTTCGTTTTTGGAAAAATCAACCAAATTTTTAAATTTTATATATTTTTTCGGCTATTATTTTTACAGCGGCATACAATGTCATTTTCTCATTGAAAACTGGCACAGAAAATTTTCAGTGTCAAAATTTTAGAAGACATTATCTAAAAATGAGGAGTTAAAGTGATAAATCGCGTTATCCAATAAAAGGAGAGGAAAAGTTTTGCTTCAGAGCAGAAGATTTGCTTCATGAATCAGAGTTGGGTAACACCGTTAGTTTTTGATCACATTGTGTCAGTGAGACTAAAGGTGCTCCACTTTAGCATACTTAAGGGACTAAATATGCTCAGAGTTATATTTGAAGGACCAAAATAAACCTACCCTTCAAGATAAGGGACAATATTAGTCAAAAACTCTAAAGGAAGATGTGCATAATTACTTGCACCTCAATACGTTCCATAATTTTCCATCCAAAATGGACGTTGTTAATCTTCGTTGACCTGAAATTTTATTGTTCATTTTCTAATTATTTAAGGTGTTCAATAAAAATTGAAGAAAAAATGAGGAAGGGATCACTGGTAAACCCTTACTAGTACTTGATGTTTACATAACACAATGAATACACAATAGATGTTCTCACGTACAGAACAATGAATACTTTAAGGTTAAGAGCCACAATTTAAGGAAATAAAATATACACTTATCTCTCTCTATATATGAGTTAGGAAGTAAATCAACCTAAAAGACGGGAGATCATAAAATCTATGTTCAAGAAGATCAATCAAAGTCACTAATGACGATTCAACATTGTCAAATAAAACTTTGGTTCGTTCTCATGATGAAGACCATGTTCAGTAACAAGGATAAGACGTTAACAACTTTTAATGATTTCTAAGTTTGATACGGGGTATATCAAATAATGTATTTATGGGATAATACATTTAGGAATCACCTATTTAAGTGTGAAGTATAAGTTGATTCAAGGAGAACCTGCAAGGTCATTTCTCTATGCACTTATGAAATTAGGCAGTGTTCATGGCTGAACGAACACAACAACGAGAACCAAAATGCGGTTAAGGGTTGATTGTGTGACGTATGACTATCTAGGTATACACCAAAGTTCGACGATTCAAAGGTATCAATCTACCGATTGATCGAGTATATTCGACATATGTTCACTACGGAAAGTTCAAAAGGAAACATACTTATCCAGATGCCATTAATCCTTACTTCTGAATCTGATACGATCCTAGATAGCCCGGGCAAAACAGAGATAATTGAAGATGACCCCGAATTATCTAGCGGACCGTTGACTCGCTCCAGGTTCAAGAAAGCCCGAGGGATGCACGCCGAGGAGTTGCATGGTCTTCAACAATTGACTAGAAGATGTTGGAGAGTCACTTGGAGGATTCACGAAAAGGTACTATGTTTGGAGTCTTGAGAATTGAAGAATCAAGACCCCAAGCCAAACCGTGTGATACGGTTTCACCAACTGTTGGCTATAATTCAAGAGGGCCCTGAAGACCTGAAGAAAATAAGCTTCTGGAATTCGTTACAGTTCAACTGTGCGTCACGATTGGGGGTTACTGTTGAGGCTACGGTTTGGCCTGACGAGTTTTTTTTTGAGACATTAACTTTGAAATTTTTTCTATTTTACCCATTG